TTATATTGGCACAGAATAGAGCAGGGTTTAGGGCTGTTGTATATAGGGTCACTATGTGTAGCAGGTAACTCGAAGATACATAACAACAACAAGAGAGGATATGGACAAGTACTTAGAAACCCAAAACCTACCTAAACTAACAGACCAAAATAGAACACCTAAACAGATCCATTACAAAAGAAGAAATTGAAAAGGTAATATAACAACTTCTAACAAAACAAAACAAAAAAACCTAAAACACACACACACAAACCCACAACACCCTAGACCAAATGGTTTTATAAGTGAATTTTATGAAGCATAATTAAGAACTGTCACCAGTTATACATAAACTATTTCAGAAACCAGAAAAAGATGGAATTCTCCCAGACTCATTCTATGAAGCAAACATATCCTTAATACCAAAGTCAAGTAAAGACACCACGAAAATAGAAAACTATACGCCAATATCTCTCATGAACCTAGATGGAAAAATTGTGAATAAATCCCTGGCCAACAGAACCCAACAGTACATTAAAAAAAATAATAATTCACCATAACGAAGTGAGATTCATAACAGGTATGAAAGGATAGTTCAACATCAGAAAAACAATCAGTGTAATTCATCACATTAACAAAGCAAAGAACAAGAAGCACATGATCCTATAAATTTATGCAGGAAAGGCCTTTGACAAAGCCCAACACCCTTTCTTGATTAAAATACTCAACAAAGTAGTGATAGAGAGGAATTTCCTCACCAGAGTAAAAAGTTTATATGCCAAAAAAAAAAGAGCCATCATTATTCTCAACAGAGGGATTAAAAGCATTCCCTTTGAGAACAGGAAACTAGGCAAGGATGCCCACTATCACCTCTCCTATTCTTCTTATTGGAGGTCTTAGCAATAGCAATACTACAAGAGAAGGAAATAAGAGGTATCCAAATTGGTAAAGAGGAGGTAAAATTACCTCTTTATACAGGTGATATGATAGTGTACTTAGAAAACCCTAAAGACTCAGAAAATTACAGGGCATAGTTGACCAATTCAGCAAAGTGGCAGGATACAAGATCAACATACAAAACTAGTTGGATTTCTCTACAGTCACAAAGAGAATACAGCAGTGGAGCTAAGAAAAACAATACCCACCATAGTAGCTAACCACAAGATTAAATACTTGGGAGCAAATCTAACTAGAAACACAAAGGACCTATTCAAAGAAAATTATAAAACATTACTACAAGAACCAAAAAGAGACCTGGAGAAATGGAAGGACATGCCATGCCTCATGGATAAGAAGACTCAATATTGTGAAAATGGCATTCTACCAAAGATAATCTACAAGTTTAATGCAAGCCCAGATACCAATTACATTCTTCAGCGAGATGGAAAAGGCGATTTCCAATTTTATCTAGAGTGGAAAGAGACCTCAAATAAGCAAAGCACCCCTTAAAAAGAGAAACAGGGTAGGAGGCATCTCCCTCTGTGATCTCAAATCGTACTACACAGCCGTGGTGGTCAAGACAGTGTGGTACTGGTACAATGACAGACACACAGATCAATAGAATAGACTTGAGAACCCAGAAATCAGCTCATCTATTTATGATAAACTTTTTTTTTTTGAGAAGGAGTTGAAGTCAGTTAAGTGGGGACGCCACAGCCTTTTTAACAAATGGTCCTGGCAGAATTGGAAAACTATCTACAGAAACTTAAGCAAGACCCAAATCTCACACTATACACAAAAAACAACTCAAAGTGGATCAAGGACCTAGGACTAAAACCAAGGACTATAACCTTCATTAGATAAAAGCTTGGAAGAACTCCAGAAGCCCTAATCCACAACATGAACAGTCTTTCAAGCATCCTCAAAAACTTACAACCAGGAGAGAATAAAAAAGATGAATGGGCCCTTCTAAGAATCAAGTATCTCTGCACATCAAAAAACTTCTCCAACCGGGTAAAAGGAAAGTCACAGACTGGGGGGAAAATATTTGGTAATAACATTTCTGATAAGGGACTTATATCTAGAATTTATAGAATACTACAGTACATCAACAAGATAAAGGTAAACATCTTAATTGCAAAATGGGCACAGGATATGAACAGACACTTCACCAAAGAAGACAATCAGATGGCCAACAAACACGTGAAGAAGTCCCTAGCTCTAAGAGAGATGCAAATCAAAACAACTATGAGCTATCATCTCACCCAGTAACAATAGCAAAGTTCAACAGAGCAGCAAACAACAAATGCTGGCGAGTTTGTGGAGAAATTGGAATCCTTATTCACTGTTGATGGGAGCATATAATCGTGCAACCACTATGGAAGGCAGTATGGTACTTTCTCAAAAAGTTGGAAATAGAAATCCCATTTGACTCAGTAGTTCCACTACTGGGAAGATACCCTAAAAAAGCCATAACTTCCACTCAAGCAGATATATGCACACCCATGTTTACTGCTGTGTTGTTTACAATAGCATAGAAATGGAGGCAATCCAAGTGCCCATCAACAAATGAAAGGATAGAGAAGCTGTGGTATATACACACAATGGAATACTATTCAGCATGGAAAAACAAGGAACTAATAAAATATACAAATGAGTGCCCTTGGAGGACATTATGCTGAGTGAGATATCTCAGTCACAAAAGGACAAAGCCTGCATAATGCCACTGTTAGAAAATAGGACTAACATTAGGGGTTGGAGATAGACTAAGAAAAGAAGGAATAAATAATGAACACTGCATTGGAAGAGATGAGGGAAAGAATTGTTTAAAGGAAATATCATTTAAAGGTATCATTTGTACGACAACTGTCCAGAATAAGAGGTGTATAACAAAGTGGGGGGGGGGGGTGGAAAGAGGAAACAACAATGAAAGAATTTTTTAAAGAGAAACTTGAACTAGAATGGGGGTAGAGAGGAAAACATGCAACAATGAATGAATGGAAATCCAAGTTTTCTGTAAACTTTTGTTAAAATCACAATAAATTATTTAAAAAAAACAAGGGAGAATGTCAGGGTTGTAGTCTCTCTCCGTACCTATTCAATGCTGAGCAAACAATTCATGAAGCTGGACTCTATGATGAAGAATATGGTATCAGGGTAAGAGGGAGACTCATTAATAACCTGCACTGTACAGATGACACAACCTTGCTTGCTGAAAGTGAAGAGGACTTGAACACTTGCTGCAGATGATCGAAGACTAAAGCCTTCAATATGGATTATATCTCAACCTCAAGAAAACAGAGATCCTTACCACTGGACTAATAGGCAATATCATAATAGATGGAGAAAGGATTAAAACTGTCAATGATTAAATCTTAATTGGATTGACAAGAAACACCCTTGGTACCAGCAGTCAGGAGATCAGGAGATGTATTGCTTGGGGCAAGTCTGTTGTCAGGAACCTCTTCAAAATACTGAAGAGCAATTATGTCAGATGAACAACTAACGTGTGCCTGACTGAGGCCATAATTTACCCCATCACTTGCTATGCATCTGAAAGCTGTACAGTGAATAAGGAAGACAGAGGACGAATTTATATTTTTCAATTGTGATGTTGGAAAAAGAGTACTTAATATCCCATGGATTGCCAAAAGAACCAAGAGATACATCTCGGCCGAAGTGCTCTTTGGAGGCATGAATGGCAAAGCTTTGTCTCTCATACTTTGGACATGTTGCTAGGAGAGGCTATTGCTTAGAAAGGTGAAGGAGGGTTGGTGGAAGAGAGGAAGACTCCCTGTGAGATGGATTGATATGGTGACTGCAGCAATGGATTCAAGTGTTATCAGAGATTATGAGGATGGCACAAGACAGCATAGGGTTCAGGTCTGTTGTGCATAAGGCCATTGTGAGTCATGCTCAACTTGATGACGGCACCTAACAGCAACAACTGAGAGTGACACTCCTTTCCCCCAATCCCTGATAACCACCTATAAAGAGTAATTTCTGTACATATAAGGTTACATGTAATTTCACAAAAGTGAGAACATAGAGTTTTTTGTGATTGACTTAGTTTATTCAAGGTCATATTCTCTGGGTTCCTCCATTTTTAGGATATTTTGGGAACTTGTTTTCTTTGAATAGTGTACCATTGTATGTATCATTTTTCACTTGTTCTCTCACCTGTCGGCAGCAGCTAGGTTGCCTCCATCCTTTGTCCATTGTGAATGAACAGAGCTGTGGTAAACTTAGGCATGTGTATTTGTCTGTGCAGGTTCTGTTTCCAGGAGGCAGTCTTTCCCCACTTGTAATATGAGTACTTTCTAATTTGAGGTTCTCATCTTCTGGCACTAGGTCAGACAGTGTTGTGATGTGTGGGTGGGGTGGAGGGGAAGATCTGGAAGGAAACAAACCTCAAGAGAGTAAGTGGGGTTAGAGCAGGTCTTAAGGCACAGGGGTGTTGACTGGACATCTCTCAGTGAAGGTAAGGGGCCCTCCAAGAGGATATAGGCATAGAGAAGAGTAAGTGCTACTTGGTAGCTTCGGGCAATTCAAGGTTGTCTAGGGAAGAGTGATTAGACAGCACTTAAGTCTGAGTTGTTTATGTATTTGAGAAGAAGCCCTAAAGTATGTCCTTTCTCTTGTCCTTTAGTCCCTGGTTCAGGCTCAGCTCCAAGTCCTCCCAGATCTTGTTCCTAATGCTGCAGACGTAGAAAGGCCTGAGTCCTCCCTACCAAGCTTCTCTGCATTTGCAGGGCTGCCCGATGACCTCATGACACGTCTATTTTCCCTCCCCTTGGATTTGCTGCCCAGCTGTCAAATAACCTGGTGCTTGGGACCGGAGATGAGCACAGAGAGAGGTGTTTCCTTTAACAGGGGAAGGACAATCAGGGAAGACTTCCTGTAGGAAATGAATTCATATATGGGCCTAGAATGAGAACCAGAGATCCCTAAGTAGGGAAAAGCAGGTTCTGAGTGGAGAAAAGACAAACCCAGGTGAATAAGAAAGATACTGGGAGCACCACAGAGTCCTTAAGATGCTTGGCTTGGAGCATCTGCCCCTCTCATGCTTTTTCTTCCTGCAGCTGGCATTAAGGAATGCCCTTCGCTACTTCCCCCCAGATGTCCAGAAACTGCTGGCCCCTGAGTTTGCCCAGGAGCTGCGTCTCTATGGGCACATCTATATGTATCGGTTCTGCCCCAACATTGAAATGAGGTAAGTGCTGGAGGCACAGATTTGGAGGAGGCATGGGGAAGCTAGGAGAGCCCTCAGTGGCTGAAGAGTCCAGCAGCAGGAGGGAAAGCTAGCATGGCAGATCTGAGAGGAGTGTGAGAAGATGCTTCTCACAGGGGGCAGAGTGGGCCGTGTTTGTCAATTGCTGGGATCTGGAACTGAGAGCTGACAGTGGTACCCAGGCCTGGCTAGAAACCAGGAATAAACCTCAGATGCATCGTCTCTGGTCTGATCTGTCTATCCTGGGCAGTCAGTCTCATGCAGTTATGGAGCCAAATAATACAAAATTAATTTCTAAACACCCCTGTTTTGTTACCTGCTGAACTGTTGTTTATGTGTACTGGCAAGACAGAACTGACCCAGCGCTGACCCACCAGCCTATTTTCAAAGGCAGTAAATCACACCAGAGGAGATTGCCCATGGAGCAGCTAGTGGATTTGAACCTTGTACCTTTAAGTTGGCAGTACAAGCCCAATTCCTTGCCACTAAACCACCAGAACTCCCCGGTAAGGAGTTGCACTGCCAGCCCAAATGCACGCAGTTCAAATCCGCCAGCTGCTCTGTGGGAAAAAGATGGGCATTCTCCTCTTGTGTGATTTAATGCCTCTGAAAAGCTGCTGAAGGGTCAGCTATGCTTTGGTTTCAACTTGACACAGCAACAACAATGTTCTGTAATTCTTTGCAAGGAAGAGGAAAGCTTCGGAGAACTCTGTCAGCATCTTCAAGGATCTGCTGGTGCTATGTCTCACCCCAACCGTGGTCCGTAGAGCTGAGTGGGACTTGCCAGGGGTTCATGGGTCATGGACCTAGTTCTAGAACCTCATGGTGAAAAGACAAAAGTTTAAAACATTTTCTTCTCTCTTGTTAAAATTTTCATCCTGACCATCTTTCCTAGGATCTTAGGATCCTAGCATCATAGGTCTACTTTTACTTTTTCTTTGCTTGTACCTCTTTCCTATTATTTTTAGAAAACCTTTTTCATTTTTAATTGTGATAAAATTGACTCTCTTCTTCGACCCCTAAACAAGAGGATTCACTGTCAGTGTAACTTCATTATAGTACTAGTTTCCTCACTTACGTTTCTTTAGCAAATTAAAAATAATTAAGAACTAGCTTCATAAAATATGCCACATAATTTTATTAACATCATATTTAAGAGAGCTCTGGGTGGGCTAGTGGGTAAGCACTTGAGATCACAACTCAAAGGCAGGCAGTTTGAATCTACCTGCTGCTCCAAGGGAGAAAGATGGTCAGTCCGCTCCAGTGCAGTCTGCAGCCTCTGAAAACACACTGTAAGGTCAGCTGTGAGTCAGCTCCAACTCAAGGGAATGAATCAGTCAGCCAACTTCATGTAAGACAAACATACATTTATTTTCATTTTTGAGTAATATAAGTCAGTCATAAAAGGACAGTTATGATATTGTTGTTGTTAGATGCCATAGAGTTGAGTACACCTCACAGTAACCCTTTGAAGCCTGTCCTATCTAGTTCCACCTTCACAATCTCTGACACACTCAAGCCATTTTGGTATAAGATCACCATCTAAAAAACCAAGAAACTCTTTACACACAGAAAGAATCAGTTTTAGAAGGTTAACAGAGATGAGAATTAAAGGAGAAGGGAACAAAGATAGAATAAAATAAAAAGTTAAAACTTTGATCTTTTGGTAATTATTTGATAAAGTAATGCCCCCCCCCCATTTTTTATTGTGATTTGAGTAGATACTTACAGAAACAAACTTGTTTTTCTATTCAATAATTCATGCGCTTTGCGTTTGGTGACACTGATTATAATATCCACATAGTATTTTTCCCCACTTCCTCCATGTTTCCTGTTTCCATTTGTTCTTTTCAAGCCTTTTCTGCCTTCTAAGCTATAGCTATGGCACAGTCTGCCCTTTTGATCTTGTGTCTTGATTTTTCTAAGGAGTGCATTTCTTCCCAGTATTATTGTTCACCATACAGGTCTGTCTATTGCTTGATTGAAAGTTGAGTCCCAGAGGTGAGAGAATATTGTTCTTGAATATGTCAAAAGCCCAGAGTGGATTTGGATGGTCTCAGGAAGCATTATTCTCCCAAAATAGGAGGAATTGCACTCCCTTATCCATGTCTATGTGCCTAGCTTGATAACTGCTATAGAACTGATGCCCTGAAAGTGCAGAGTTGATCAAAGAACAAATGAATAAACTCCATCCAGACTTAAAGGCTCCCACAAAGCAGACCTCAGCTATACTTTGAAATCAGGTTTCATACAACTGGCTCTGCCAGTGAGATAGAGTGAGTGGCATCTAGGATGAGCTGAGCTCTCCATTTGTGGGGTGTGGGAGTTCAGCTAAATGTCTTGAGCATCAGATAGGATTGGCCTTGGAGGTTCTGGGGTCCTGAGCAAGTAATTGCCACCTGCACTTATGGGGTCAAATAGTAAGATAAGGCCAGGGTGGGCCCTGAGCATGAGGCAGGAAGGGTGGTGGTGCCTTCCTGCGGTCACACTTACGGTGGACTCCGATTCCAGGGCCTACCCCATTGAGCAGTACCCATGCCGGACCAAGATGGCTGCCGCCATCATGCACATGGTCATGAACAACCTCGATCCCTCCGTGGCCCAGGTGAGCGTGTGGGTGGATCCAGGGGCCGTGCCCAGCCCAGCAATGTCAGATAGAAACATAACCTCAGAAATAATACGGGTGGTTTTTCTGAACTTTTTCGTTTTAAGTAATGGTAAATCACAAGGATGGGGCAGAGGGCTCCTGTACACCCTTTTCCCTGTTTCCCAAATAGTTACTGTTAGGGTCACAGAACTGTTCTCCCTTCTTTCCCAGAATAGCCAAAGAAATTGTCAAAGCAGCAGCTGCAACTCTATTTCTCTCTGTTAGGGCTGCAAAACTATTTCACCCCCCTTTCCCAGGAATAACTATCCACGACCCTCAACCTGCTTTCTTTTCTTGTACCAAGCAGCTGTTACATTCTCACTCCCCAATTTCCTTGTAAGACAATATAAAACCCCACTCTAACTTTAAGTAGCTTCTGGTCTCTACTTTAGAGTCAGCCTGGCAGTTTCTCCTCAATAAACTGTCTTCCTTGGGGTGCACTGGGTTCTGTCCTTCCTCAGCGACCTTACGGTTACGTCATCTGTAATAGCATCATCCACAGCAGGAATTTGTCATTGATCCATGGACATATGTGCAATTTTAAATTTTCTCCTAACCACATAGATAGTAAAGTGAAACGGATAAAATTAATCTCCATAATGTATGTTATGTAACTCAAAATAGCCATGACATTATCATTATAGTAATGATCAAGCAATCCGTGTCAAAACTATTCATGAGAAACACTATACATCATTGCTCTTACTACGTCTCTGAAGTCTGGGATACTTTATCCTTAAACACTGCTTGATTCAAGCTGGACTTATTCCACGTGTTTGGTGTAGTCCGATGGGTGAGCGCTGTTAGGCTGAACCATGAGGTCTGTCCCGATGGACTTGTCATAGACATCCTTCAAGAGCTTGGCTACAGATCAAATGGAGAAAGGGGAATAGGATGGGGCAGCTCCTTGAGTTCCTTGAATTGATATATATGTTCAGAAATTGTGACTACTTAGTACACTAATGAGAACTTCTTTGATGTGACCCTGACTTCAGATCCTGGTCTCAGGCCGACCCTGACTTTGAGCCCAGGCTGAGATCCCAAGTTGACCTTATCTCCAGTTCTGATCTTAACACTGACCTGAACCCTTAGCCCAATCACAGACAAGAGCTCCCCAGCCCTCCTACATCTTTGCAGGGTTCTCTCCTGCCATGTCTCAGAGACAATGTATCTTCTCCAGTTTCCCCAGGAGCTTGTGACCTATGGAGGGAACGGCCAGGTGCTCAGCAACTGGGCTCAGGTAAGATGACTGGGTGGCCTCTCCCACCCCCATCAGCCTTATCTCTCTCCAACTCCTGTGCCTTAGTAGGAGCTAGTAAATTCATAACTTTGCAAGTTGACTTGCTGCCTGAAGTGCCACACTTAGAACTTGCTTTGGGATGCTTACAGTTATAATAGATAGGAGCCGAATTAGAGGCACCAGGAGCTGTGGGAATGTCCTTGGGGAACTGGAGGATAGAGTGTGGGAGGGCCTGCTGGGGCCTGCAGGGAACTCTCCTGACTAGAGCCATTACTGGGAGTCCAAGGCTTGGAGTACAAATAAACTGAGGCTTCCTCTTTGATCTTCTCTAGTTCTGGCTGGTCATGTCCTACTTGTCACAGATGACAGAAGAGCAGACATTGGTCATGTACAGCGGACATCCTCTGGGTCTCTTCCCCAGCAGCCCTAATGCCCCAAGGCTGGTGATCACCAACGGAATGGTGGGTTCTGACCTGCAGGCTGACCTGGGTTCCTGTGACAGCAGCTGGTTGGCAACAGGAAGATGGCTGGGCAAGAAGGAAGATCACATTCCCCAGAGCCTGTTTCCATCCCTCTTTTCCAGGTCATTCCCAACTACTCATCCAGGACAATGTATGAGAAGCTCTTTGCTTTGGGGAACACAATGTGAGTCACTGTTTTGGTTTATATTATAATGTGTTTCACTTAGTGAAAATTCATTTTAACAACAATGTATGGCAATATTAAATACAGTTTTGTCAAATGCTTATAATTGCATCATTGAAACATACTTAACTTTAATTTTTACATAATATTAATTATCCTTTTAAAAATATTGTGTATGTCTGCCTATGTATCCATTTACAGGTTGATGTCTTCTCTTTATTGGAAATGTGGGGTTGTGTATGTAATGATCTATTTATGTCTGTATCCCTCATAGGGTTTTAAAAATATATGCCTACATTTTTTATGCACTTGTAAATAAGTGAACATTTCCCTACAAATGACCAAGTTAAAAAGACTGAGAGTTTCTATCTCTGCCACTTACACCCTGTGTAACCTTGCAACTAAGGCTTCTATCTTCCTCATCTGTAATCCCAGTTTCTGTCTTAAAGAGCTGTGTGACAGTTAAGTGAAATGATAAGGGTAAAACCTTCTCACCTTAGCACAGGTAGGTATGGGTTAGCCACTAAATGGTATTCTCAACTAGATGTGGGCTCCACTGGGAACACTTCTGGTATTTGGTTTAGCTGTCTGACTGAGTGGCTGGCAACTATGTCATTACTATTCTCTTATGTTAGCAAATAGACATAGGGCCTTTCCAAGTAAAGTTAACAGGACCCCATTTTTCACATGATCAAACAGAGTGATCCAGTTCCTTTCCCAAAGTATGGGATAGCGCTAATGCTAAGGCATGGTCTGTGAGTCCAGAGTCTACCCTTTACCCTGAAGAGAGAGATTTGAGGAGAGATCCTGGGAGCAAGAACCCAACAAATAGAAAAAATACTAACTTGACATTTACAAAAGAGAAAAGCAAGGAGCAGGAAAGCTTGCGGCATCTCCCAGGCTCAGTAGTCCTTAGGGAAGCATGAAGCTAAGACAACAGCAAAATGTCTTTGTTCCCTCATGAGATTGTGAAATAATGGAAATGTTTGGTAAGAATCAAGTGTCAAAAACAAGCGTACTATGCATTGCTGATAACAAACGCTTTGGGATTTGACAATGCCTGTTAAAGGAATGGTGGTTCTTTTAATAGCTGAACCTGAGGAGGACCTGAAGCATTTACTGCAGAAGGTCAAGGACTGCGGCTTTCAATAGGCATTGTATCTCAACATCAAGAAAACAAAGATCCTTACCACCAGACCATAATAGGTAGTATTATGATAAAGGGAGAAAAGATTGAGGTTGTCAATGATTTAATCTTGCTCAGATCCACAGTCAACACTCTTGGTACCAGCAGTTAGGAAATCAAAAGACAAGTTGCACTGGGAAAAATCAGTTATCAAGTACAAGTACCTCTCAGAGTGCTGAAGAGCAGTGATGACAGTCCAGAGATTAAGGTGCACCTGATCCAGGCCATGGTCTTTTCAATTGCTTACTATGTATCTGAGAGCTGACAGAAGTAGAATTGATGTCTCTGAGTTGTGGTGCTAAAGAAGAGTACTAAACATACTATGGGCTACCAAGAGAACAAACAAATCTGTCCAGGAGAGTGTGAAATTAGGTTGCTTCTTGGAGACAAGGATTTTGAAGGTGTGTCTCTGTGGATTTTGAAGGTGTGTCTCTGTACTTTGGGTATGTTGTAAGATGGAGCCATTCACTGGAGAAGAATATCATGCTTGGAAGGGGAGAGGGTCAGTGCAGGAGAGGAAGACCCTGGATGAAATGAATTAGCACAATGGCTGTGGCAGTGGGGTCAGGTGTCTTAAGAGATGGTAAAGTTGGCTCAGGATAAGGAAAGGTTCAGAGCTGTTGTTCGTAGGGTTGCTTTGAGTTGTAGTCAAGTCAGTGGCATGTAACAACATTAAAGCAATGAAAAGGAACTGTCATTGGAGTGAGAAATATTACAGGTTGATACCCTGTTAGTCAATTGGCAGCATCAGTATGGATGGTGAAGAGATTGAGATAGTTAACAGTTTTAGTTTACTTGCTTCCACAGTCAACACTCTTGGTAACAGCAGCCAGGAAATCAGGAGACAAATTGCATTGGGAAAGTCAGCTGTGAGGGACCTCTCAAGAGTACTGAAGAGCAATGATGTCAGGCTGGAGACTAAGGTGCACCTGATCCAGACTATAGTCTTTGCCATTATGTGCTATGCACCAGAGAGTTGGACAGGGACTAAGAATGATAGAAAAAGAATTGATGCCTTTGAGCTATGGTGCTGGAGAAGAATGTTGAATATACATACCATGGACTGCTAGGAGAACAAACAGGTTTGTCCTGGAGAGGGTGAAGCCAGCATGCTCCTTGGAGTCAAGGATTCTGAAGCTTTGTCTGACATACTTTGGGCATGTTGCAAGGAGGGACTGGTCCTTGGAGAGGGACATCATGTTTGGGAGAGTGGAGGGACGGCACAGGAGAGGAAGACCCTTGATGAGATGGATCGATTCTGTGACTGGAGTGGTGGGAATGAGTGTGTTTGAGATGGCGAGGTTGGCACAGGATAGAATGGTGTTTAGGGCTCTTGTACTTAGGGTCACTATGAGTTGCAAGTGACTCGATGGCACATAACAACAACTACCCTATTAGAAGTGTACTCTGTCTAGTAGAAAGAAGCAGGAGTGGCATCTGCTTCCTAAACAACATGCCTCTGGAAACTATGAACTTGATAAATGATGATAGTTATAGAAAGGCTTCAGGCCCTATGAACATAGGATTGCTCTGAGTCGTGCTCAACTCGACGGCAATCATCAACAACATCAACAGTAGAAAATAAATACAGCGTGTACATTGCATAGCAACCAAATGTCTCAACTGGTCGACTTTGAAACAATGAACCAAGTTCAAAGATGGCGACTAGCTGGACTGCTTTGACTCTGTGCTTCCCCCCACCCCCCATTCTTAGCAAAAATCCAGCCTCTTGCATCAGGCTGTAGCAGGGGCTCACTAGGTCTCTTCTCAATCTCCCATTCTAGCCATCTGACCTGCATTTTCTCCCATCCTGATTGATGTTCCACTTAGTTACATTTAAAAACTTGTAGTCTTTTCTGATTTTGCTTTTTGTCCATGAGTGAATGAGTTTGAGACAGTCTTAAGCTCTGTTTTTCATGGCTGTATACTAATGTACATAGTAAACACTGTGTTTATAAACAGAAGTTATTATCCCTTCCCTGATGTAACTATAAAATACAAAGTGTAATTGCAAGGTAAGAACAAAATACATGCACAACTTTAATGGTTAGAGCCAAATATTTCCTGAATGACTTTTTATCAATTAGAGTACAGTATTTAAGAATGAAAAACATGTTTGTAAAAGTCCTGGAGGCTAGAAGGGACTAAGATTGGAGACTATAGCGTTATGTGTAATTTTTATTAATAAACTGGACTGTGTTAGTGTGATTTTGCATAATTAAAAGTTAATTTAAAAAATAAAAAGAAGATGACGTTTAGCATCAGTCTGATTCACATTCCCTCTGCCCTGTCTGTGGTGGCAGGTATGGCCAGATGACTGCAGGCAGCTACTGTTACATCGGCCCACAAGGAATTGTCCACGGCACAGTGGTGAGAGGCAGTGACCGCACCTTGCTGGGGAGGGTGGTCCTGGGAGGAGAGGGTGGCAAGCATTCCCAGCCTCCTCTTTCCTCAGCTCACCCTGTTAAACGCTGGCCGTCGGTACCTGGGCGTTGAGGATTTGACTGGGAAGGTCTTTGTCACTTCTGGACTTGGTGGAATGAGCGGAGCCCAGGCCAAGGCTGCGGTCATCGTGGGGTGCATTGGGGTGATAGCGGAGGTAAGACCAGCCTGAGGGTCTCATCTGTGCTCTTTGTCTTTCTCTCTTTTTATCCCTTGCAAAGAATCCTCATGCGTACACCCACCTCTCTCTGCACCTGGCTCACCCTTCTCCCCTCCACTCACTCTCCACCCAGTTGTATACTCTCCCCTCTGTCCTCGCCTTCTCTCCCCTACTCACCCTACACTTGCCTCTTTTCTCTCCTCAGTTTACTCCCTGCATCTCTTCTCTCCTCTACTCACCCCACAAACATTCCACTCACCCTCATCTACCCCTTCTCTCTTCCCTTACCCTCCCCACCTACCCTTTGCCTCTATTCTTTTCTACTCTATACCTGCCTCTCTTCTCTGCCCACACTCACCCCGCCCCCACCTCCTCATGTCTCCCCAACTCGCCTCAAACCTGCCTCTCTTCTCATGCTCACCCCTGCACCTCCCTTCTGCCTCCCTTGTTCCCTTACTCCCACCTCTTCTTCCTGTCACCCCCATAATTCTTTTCTCTTCTCTCCCCATCTTACCCACACCCATCTGTCTCACTTCCCCCTTTACCTCAAAAGCCACTTCTCTTCCTCCACCCACACCCACTTCTTGTCACCTACACTCAGCTGCCTCTTCCTTTGCCCCCTCACCGTCACATGCACCTATTTTCTCTCTTGCCATCACGCCCCTCCTCCACATATCCTCCCTGGCATCATGGTTTCCCTGGCAGGTAACTTCTTACCATCAAAATATACAGCAATACCTGGCATTGTCTTTGCATATTGTCTGGTCTCTCACTAAAGTGTAACCTTCTGTGACCAGACAGCATCATTGTATCCCCTAACCTGGCACTGGGCCTGGAACGGGAAGATGGCACATGCCGGTGTCCTTCTCCAGCTTAAACCTCTCAGTCACACCAGGGAGACAGACATGTTCCTTCAAAAGAGACAGAAAGCTTCCCACACGGAGACAAGAAACAGGAAGCAGGAGAGTGAGGAACGTCAAGACCAGTCCCAGGGGTGCACACCAGAGTGATTTGCACTTAGTTACGCCAAGCTCCCAGACTTGCCTGTACTTGTTAAAAGCTCATTTGGTTGCTGGTGCCAGGACCTCACTCCGGAGGCTCCCATGAGCGAGTTGCTACTTCTCTTACACAGAAGCATCAGGGCCAACCTCTCTAGAGACTCCTGGGCTTTCCTCTGGGTTACATAATGACTGCCCCAGCCAGCCCCCTACATTCAAGAGAAGAGGGAAGGAGAAGGAGAGTGCCTGCTACGACGGACCCGATTTTAACAGGAAGAACTCTCAAAACCCCTTCAAGTTAATACTGCCTTTTACCTCTTTGGTTAATAAAACTGGATCAAATGTATTTTCCTGTTGGCAAGAAAGACTAGACATCATGGATTGTGATTTTTTTCCCCCTCCATGTGATTCATCTTCTGGAGTTATATCCTGTGTACCCTGACAAAAATCTGGGTTCTTTTGATAAAGAATGATAAGGAAGAAAAAGAATCATCAGAATAAAAATGTCAGAAGAACTGGTGCCTTTGAATTGTGGTGTTGGCAAAGGGTTCCGAGTATTCCATGGACTACCAAAAGAAAACACAAATCTCTCCTGAAGAAGTCCTCCTTACAGGCAAAGATCAGGAAGCTTCATCTCACTTACTTTGGGCATATTTTCAGGAGAAACCAGAGTCCTTCGAGAGAGACGCCGTACTAGGAAAGATGGAGGGTCAGTGAAAGAAAGGAAGACAGGCGATGCCATGGATTGACACTCCCTCCCACAATGATGGGGATCATGAGTGTGATGCAGGAGAGGGCACTTCAGAGCTGTTGTTTATAGGGTTGCTATGAGTTATAATCAACGTGATGACATCTAACAACAACACTGATAAAGAATGAAGGAAAGGGAATGAAAACTTAGAATGCAGCTTATCACGTGTCCCAAGACTACTATAAAAATGAGAGGATGGGCATGGGGAATGACACCTTCATGAGTGAAAGGAAAGACCCTCCCACAAGGTGTGTAACTGGCTGCCCTGTGTCTTACGGTCCCAGGTGGATAAAGCAGCCCTCCTGAAGCGCCACAAGCAAGGCTGGCTGATGGAGGTGACAGACAGCCTCGACCACTGCATCCAGAGGCTCAGGTACAACTCCAAGTCCACCCCAGAGCCAGACACATGAGGGCATCCATCCCAGATGAGGGCTGAATGTGGGGCTGCTCATAGGAGAAGTTGTCTGTGCAGCTTCTGCACAGCTACCTCTTCCCGCTTAAGGCCTTCTTAGCTATGTGAGTGGCAGCTCGGGAAAAGGGCTGAGGCAGGTGGAGAAGGGGCAGCAGCTGCTGACCTGATGCCATTTTTGAAGTTTTATTTCAGTCAATTTATTCTGAAGAACACATATGTGCACACACAAAGTAAAATCAGTTCTAATCTGTTTAACTGACCACCTAAAACAACCTCATGACAAGTCTCAGACTTGCGAGCCAAAGCCATTGGTTTTTAACTCTGGCTACAGTTTAGAATCACTGAGGAGCCATAAACCTGGTTTTATATGTACCTTTTCAAATATACACAGCACTTGTGAATATAACATAATGAACTCCCAAGGATCCTTCCACCAGATTCAGTATTATTTTAACATACATTTTTCTAAAATGTCAATCTGATAGCGTCATACCAAAACTTAGTTCACACTCTCAGGTAATGCTCTACTGATTACAGATGAAATGCAGCTTTTCTTGTGTGGTGCTGAAGGCCTTGCCTTCAACGATAGGGCTCCTGTCTGCATTCAGGTGGTTTAGCATCCTGATTGAACTTGGCACATACACGTACCCATTTCCAACCACTCTGATATCTTCACAGTTTCTGAATGGCCCCCTTCTATTAGCCTCTGTCTCCTGTTACCCTCTTATATGTTTGGGCTAGGTTAATTCCTGCTAACACACACATATATACACATGTGCTCACACCACACACATGTGCTCACACATGCATACACACATACATACACACAGAGAACAAAATGTTTTCAAAATCCATTTAACCAATCACTTTAAGCAACTCTTGACAAGTTTATGACCCTGGAGTCGAAAAAAACACCACTGAGAATGACTTGACCCTCCCAGGGGCTTGCAGTTCCCTCCCTGGCGCTATAGCTGGGGTTCAAATCTCCTTTCCCTAAACATGCTACCTTCAGGGTTACCTCCCTCTCTGCTTTGTAACTATGTGTTGTTCATTTATTTGTTTTCCTGCTTTATTAACTTTGCATACTAAGAGGAGTGTACTGATCCCTTCTAGCACTTGCTCCATTGTGCACAGTGTTCTCAGTGTTCACAAAGGATGTGAAAGCCTCCATTTCTGCCATGTTGTTTGCCTTATTGTTGCTTTGTAATACCCATTAATACCTGTAGGGGTAGTTATTTATTGAAAACTTTTTTCCTTCAAGGAAGCTCTGGTGGCCTAGGGTAAGGAGTTGTGCTGCCAACTCAAGGGCAGATGACTCGAATTCACCAGCTGCCCCTCGGGAAATGACAGTCTCCTCCCTTCCTATTTACAGCCCCTGAAAACCTGCTGGAAGGTCAGCGATGAGTCTGTTCTGACTCACTGGCATACAACAACAACAACAGGATTTTCCCTCCAAACTATTGATTTATTTACCGGCCTCATTTTAGTTTTCCAAACAGTTTTTAGAATCCTCTGTAGCAGATTCTGTCTCATTTTCAGGACCATTTTTAGTGAGCTCTCAAAGTGTGGTGTCTCTTCACCCTGGTGCTTCGTTCACATGCAAGGCTCTTCGGGGCATCTCGAGCCTCACATTTATGTTGCTTTTTGCTCAGCCTGAGCTAGTGGGAGTGGAGGTTTGTCACGGGGCAGTGGAGGCCAGAAGTGATGGGGCCATCTGGTCTGATCTTGTACTCTAGAGAAGCAAGGAGACAGAAGGAGGTGCTCAGCCTTGGCTACCATGGCAACGTAGTGGATCTTTGGTGAGTGAAAGTGGCTCCCTCAGGGGCAACAGAGGACCCCCTCTAGCAAAGGCCCTGATGCTGACCTCTTTGGCTTTCTTGCTACCACTCTTTCTAGGGGGGAATCCCGTTAGATCCCATCCTTGGGTGGTTCCTGTAGCTTCTTCCTTATCAACCCTGAAGCTGGGGCCCAGATCATCCACCCGACTCTCCCCTCTTCTCTGCCCTGTACTAACTGCCTGTGTCTGCCCCAGGGAGCGCCTGGTACATGAGCTGGATGCAACAGGGGAGCTTCTGGTAGATCTCGGGTCAGACCAGACGTCCTGTCACAACCCCTTCAATGGTGGCTACTACCCTGTACAGCTTGGTTTTTCAGAGGCTCAGAGCCTCATGGCCTCCAACCCTTCAGCCTTCAAAGACCTGGTTCAAGAGAGGTGCTGTGGTGGGGCTGTTCCGTGTCTCTGTGTGTGTGTGTGAGAGAGATAGACAGACAAACAGACAGACAGACAGCACGCACAAATAGACCTGTCCACAGTATGTGCACACAGCCTTTGGGAGACGGCAGACCTCCATGTCTTGCTCTGGCATGAGCCTAGTTCTGCAGTCACCACCTTTGGGGTCTTAGGCAATACTCTCAACCTCACTGAGCCTCCATCTGCTCTCCTGTCAGAGAGGAGTTAGGAATATACAGGCCTCATAGGAATGTTGGGAGCCAAGATGAAGGAATATTTTTGTAAAACCTCCACTGCAGCTTCTGACACAGTTGGTGCCCAGTAAGTGCTGGTAGAGTCAGGGACCACCAGCCAGAGAGAGCTTTTCAGAGGGGCATTTGTTAGCAAGTGTGCCAGCTGGTCTGGAAGGGCATAGAGGATTTAAGGAGATGGCAGCGGGAGAAGGTGTGGAGGCTGAAGCGAGCTTGGAATAGTAGGACCAGGAGGAGAAAGCTCTCGAGATAAGGGGGCACAAGGGCCCAGGGGTGTTTGAGCTGACAGTTCTTCTCCTTGCAGCCTGAGAAGGCAGGTCTCAGCCATCAACAGACTGGCACAGGAGAACTTCTTCTTCTGGGACTATGGCAATGCCTTCCTTTTGGAGGCCCAGAGAGCAGGTAACAGGAGCAGAGTAGGGGTGGGAGGGTGCAGAGACTGATGTCTCAGCACTGGGTGGCCACCCCCTCATCCAGGCCAAGTTAGGAGCCCGCTGGCTTCCTATACCTCTTCCGGGGTCACCTGGAAGCCAGTCTGATGTGTAATTTGGCCTCTCTGTGCTTCACTTCTTCAGTTGTTTTAAGAACCTGACGTGCCATATAAGAGTAGTTTTGAGTCTCAAGCCAACCTTCAGTGAGCAAAATATAGGCTTGTTTTTAGCTGAAAGAAACATCATTCTGTAAAGCAGGTAATGTGTTCATAGGGTATAACCTTCAAAAGGGGTAAACAGATGCCCAGGGAAGTTCCCTCCCAGCTTGTCTTCAGCACCTCATGCCCTCTGGCCTCCCCAGTGTCCAGCCTCAGGGCAGAGACAGGTTTGCATCTGCAGGAAAGGGTGTCATATACAAGTGGACACTTACTGCATGTACCTCTGCTCCTGTCTCTTTTATCTTTTGCTTGAGAAAAGCCCTATGGAATCCTCCCTGACTGGACCGGAAGAGCTTTCTCAGCTCCCCTGTGCTTTCTGTTGGGCATCAAACATGTTTCTCAGGTGGCTCCTATGAGATTGTAGTTTTGACCACACACCCTCCCTGAAGACCCCTAGACCCACCATCTCTGATACCCAGGTGAGTCTGCTCTTGTGCTTTGTCCACAGGAGCCGATGTGGAGAAGAAAGGAGCCGATAAGACAGAATTTCGCTACCCCTCATACGTTCAACACATTATGGGGTAAGTGAAGGCGTGGCTGCCAGGTCTAGGGTACCCAGTGCCACCAAAGTCTTTTAAGCCTGGGCTCTGGACGTTATAGTTTAATAGCAATTTTAGGAAATGTCTGCTTGTGGGTACCCCAGTTCCCTGTGGCCACAGCTAGAGATAATGCAGGAGAGAGTGGACTTAGGGGCAGAGAGAGAAGCTGCTGAGAGGCAGAAGTAAAAGGAGGTTTGGGAATATATTTGAAGGATTGA